AGAGCCGGGATCCCGCCCCGAAACACCCGCCGCCCGCGGCAGCTCCCACCCGCCTGTCCCACATCCCGGCCCCGTCACCCGCCGGCTCCCTGTGTGCCATACGCGGGTGACCGTCGCCTGGTGTTCGACGGGAGCTGGCCTCCATCTCCCCTTTTTGGGGGGGTTTCCCTTGGTTGTGCTCGGGGAGGACGCTGTGCGCTGTGGAGGCCACGTCTTCGGTGCTCCCAGAGCCTGCTCTCAGGACTCCCTCATCTTCTTGGCTTGTTTAAACTGTTACATTAAAAACACACCTAAAACTCAGCTTTGTTTTGAAAAACGCACTCTGTGCAGCCATTAGTTGTTTCCTTTCAGCGTTTTACCCTTTTTCTGCAAGATGATGATTCGTTCACAAATGTCAATGTTCACACTGTAATGCTACAGGGGAAAAAAAACATCCTATGGAACATGGAAAACCCCAAACTATTCTAGCCTGAGGGGTCCAGAGGCATGATTTTGCAATGCTGAGTGCCTCGTCTCAGTGAAAACGAGGCTTTATTTGCTGGTTGCTGCTCCTTCCTGGGAATATATTCTGCTGGCATATATGCTTTCCTTTTAGGATTAATGAGAACCTCTGGGCTATGTTTTCATACTGTAAGACCTCGTGTTTCTCAGGTCGCTGGAATTTGCTGCTTTTCCCAATTCAGTTCACTGCTTAAATCATAGAATCATATAATCATGGAATGGTTTGGGTTGGAAGGGACCTTAAAGACCATCTAGTTCCAACCCCCCTGCCATGGGCAGGGACACCTTCCACTAGACCAGGTTGCTCAGAGCCTCATCCAGCCTGGCCTTGAACACTTCCAGGGATGGGGCATCCACAGCTTCTCTGGGCAACCTGTTCCAGTGCCTCACCACCGTCTCTGTGAAGAATTTCTTCCTGACATCTAATCTAAACCTCCCTGATTTGAATTTATACCCATTACCCCTTGTCCTGTCACTACAGGCTCTTCTCTGTGAAAAGTACACAGTAAATGAACTGTGTACTTTTCTTCTCTGTCGGTAAAGCAGGCTATAGGATGTTCAGTGTTTCATGGTATATGTAATATGTCAATGTTTTCCCCTAATAATAGTGTATGGTCTGTTGTAAGTGTCCTACTTGCTGATAAGCTTTTGTGATGGAGGTGATTGATATTCAGCATCATTTGAATGAATCCAAAGTGTAAGTAAGTTCTGCATAAGATACTTACTTAAACAGTTTTCAAATCTCCTGGTCAGTTTTCTTTGTGATCTCCCTCACCTTATCCCTGTTTTCATGTTTAGATTATAGAATCATAGAATCATAGAATCACTAGGTTGGAAAAGACCTTAGAGATCATCCAGTCCAACCGTATCTGTCCACCACTAAACCATATCTTTCAGCACCTCATCCACCTGTCTCTTAAACACATCCAGGGATGGTGACTCCACCACCTCCCTGGGCAGCCTGTTCCAGTGTGTGATAACCCTTTCGGTGAAGATTAGAAGGTACATCTTTTAATGGCATAGTTGATGGTGTTTTAAGACCTCTTCAGGTTCTACCGTTTATGTGTTAAGACTCTAGAGAATGGTCTTTGCCCAGTGTTTTGCAGATGGTCAGACAATTACCCTATTCTGGGTTTAGATCTCAGGACAGAGATTTACAGAGATCTACAATTTAGATTATACCGGACAACAAATTAAACAAACATTCCCTTTCATTTGCCCTCTTCTGTATCGATGAGCATAATACCAAGGCAAAGATAAGATTAAATCAGTCGTATTCTTCACCTCCCATAAATACAGGGTTAAATATTACACTTAGTAGCCTTATTGCAATAGTGCTTGGTGCAAGAAGACTACAATCAATTTTTCATAGCAAACCTGTAAATGTAGAATTAACCTTTCCCCAGCTTTCTTGTGCTAAATTCAATTTTTCGGAGCAAGCCTGTAAATGTAATTAACCTTTCCCCAGCTTTCTTGTCCTGGAGCCTAACTACAGTTCATCCCCACAAATCTACCTGTTGCCACTGCAACTGTAGGAGAAAGCTACGTTAACATAAGCTGAAAGAAATACTTTTTCTATTTCTTCTGCTATTGCGTCATCCTATTGCAGGACCCATCAGCATAGGAAGTTGTGAAAGCCAGAAACATACATGTGTTCAAAAGAGATTGCACACATTCGTGGCCAACAGGTTCATTCATGACTATTCAACCTAATGCAACTTCTGGCTCAGGAAGTCTGTACATCACTGATTACCAGAAGCTGAGGGGGTAGCCGGAGGAAGGATCGTGGTGTGCTTGGCATGTTGCTGACAGTCTTTTCCTCAGCATCCAGCTCTGTCACTTGTCAGAAATGGATGCAGAATGAGAGAGGCTCCGAGTCCGACTTGTTGCGGCCATTCTGTGCCCGCTTGACAAGACACGCAAGTTTGCAAACAATACCAGTAGCCAAGTTGGTTTATATATTCAGGGAGGCATTAGGCTCGTTTCAAATCATTCATAGTGGTGTGGGTATCACAGGTATCACACACCTAAGCTAATGAAGGAATGCTTCAGTGGGAGAATGGCACAGAGGGATTGAGGGGCAATAACACGATCTGGAAATGCTCTGGTTCAACATCGTTAATCCATGTGCTGCTTCAACCAGTCGATGTATTTGGATACCCTTGTGTAAACCCCGTAGCTGCCTTTAACAGCACAGCCCTTTCCCCAGCTGACAATCCCGGTCAGGTACCAAGTGTTCTTGTACTTCGTAGCATGAGGTCCGCCACTGTCTCCCTTGCAGGAGTCTTTAACGCCGGCCAGGTCTCCTGCACAGAACATATTATCTGTAATATTTAAATCCGTCTGCGTTTCACATTCTTGTGTCTTGACACGTGGCAAATCAACTCTCATCAGCACAGAAGAGGTGGCGCCTCCGTCTAGCAGGCGTCCCCACCCGCTCACCATGGAGAACTTGATGGAGGACAGTTCATACACCGCAAACCGTTTTTCGGGCAAACATAGCGGCACCACGTAGTCGGTGAGATTCACAGGTGTCTCCAGGCTCAGGAGGGCAATATCGTTGTCGACTTGTCCATTCGTGTATCCTTCATGAATGATTATCCTGGCGACTCCACTTTCTTGCTCAGTTTTCTCATCGTAATTGATTGCGTGTTCACCTGGAAAAGTTATTAGTCGCGGGTCATAGCAGGCAGCTCCCTGATTCCACAGAAGTTTGCAGGGGTAGGGGATTTCGGATCTGACGCTTCCTAGGGATGATTCCCTTGCATACCAAAGCCTGCACTTTTTGTCTTTTACTCTGGTTTGTCAGGATGAGAAGCTGCCACCGCAACCACAGCTTGGTAACGGGAGTAGGGGAAGATACGTACCCAGTCTCACCCGGAGCTGTTTAGGATGAATATACTCCAAACAGTGAGCTGCAGTGACCACCCATGCCGGGGAAAGCAGGGTTCCGCCACACTTTTCTTTCCGATCCTGTATTATAAGGGCCTGCCGACAAAACAAACGTAGGTCTTACAGTAAAGGGGCTCTTGACTGAGCCTCAGTAGTCAGGTGGTGTATTGCTGCTTTCTGTCGCTTTACGTGACCGTGTTGGAGAATACCATGCTGGTTGCCAGGAGAATTTTGGGGGGGGAATCTTTCTATTGTCATTTTCTCCACCTTGTAGTATGGACCCTGCCATTTCCGGCCAAGAGCGTTTCCCTGCAAGCTGCAGCTAAAATTCTTGCTGGCAGTAAGGGGTCAGGAGATAGCGGGGGTTGTATTACCACTCACAGAGTGGAAGGGGTTGGAAGAGACCTCTAGAGATCATCTAGTCCAACTCCCCTGCCAGAGCAGGATCACCTAGAGTAGATCACACGCCACTCGTGTGAAAGCAGACGCTCCAGAACAAGTCTCAGATGGATGACTGAAACGGGTGGACCTGCTGGCTGCTATGGATGAAGACGGAACTTGGTTATCCAGCCTGGCACTTTTATGGATTTTTAACATAATATATTTAAAACAATGAATATAAGAGAGTAGTTTCATAAGGAAAAAAAAAAAGCAATGGAAGATTTCTGAACACTCACTTGCCATGGACATTCACCTGGAGGACAGATTACACCGCCTACTATTCTCCCCCGTGCAGTTGCAGTTTTGTTTGCCAGCACTGGTATTTTTCCACATGGGTATTTCACTGAAAAAAAAAAAAAAAACAAACAAGGGAAAACCAAAACAAAGAGCAATAAGTGTGATTTTATTGCACTGAATTCACAGCATAATGTGTCATGTCTTCAGTGAAGTCATGTTAGCTGAAAAACTGGTTTCTAGACTGGGATCTTGGGTTCTCCAAAGTAATTTAAAGCT